TTTCTTGGGAGGGGCACACACACCACAGCCAGGAGGCATGCTATTTCCCTGCTGCAGCCATTCCCGAGTCAGAGCCCAGAGGAGGATCTCCACCAGGACCTGGACCAGCGGCCCGGCTCTGGGCTTCCAACACAGGGCAGCCACTATCTGTCTTTGGTTCTTTAAGACTCATTCCCGGCAGGCTCCGCATGTGGAACGCTGGCACGTCGGCTTGCCTTGGCTGCGGAGGGACTACACCAGCTTATGTGCTGCTTGCATGAGGGCTTTGGCTATTTTTAGGCAGCAGCTAATCCATTAACTGCATAATGCTACCACGGATGACTCACAGAACACAGCAGTCAAATTAAAAAAATAGTGGGATGCACGAAAAGCCATCGGTAAACGTGCAGTAAGCACATCATTATAACATGCCGTGTGAGTGAACCAACACACACGCAGACACGCCAGGACAGTTGGGGGAAGGAAGTGGCACTGAATATTAAGCAGTCGCCGCGGCGGTAACGGGAAGGAGTCACCCCAGGAGGATCTGGGAAGCGACAGACAGTCCCACTAACATAAGGAGCTCGGCAGTTAGGAGAGAAGCAGTCCAAGAAAAGAGTCACCCCAGAGCACTTTTCAAGTAAGATCTGCTCCAGTCTTCTGAGCCAAGTATGTGTACTTTTCAGAAAAGTTGAGGCCTGGGGAGCATGAGGCAGAGAGGTAGGAGGCTGCTCACATACTGAACACTGTTTGCCAGATGGAAGCTGACGACCCCCCAGGTGGGGCCACCCTGGGTGGGACTCTCCTAGTGGGCCTGCTGCAGGAGAGGCCCATGAGCCGCAGTCCCCGCCTGGGTCCTCTTACTGATGTGGAGGGCTGGACCATGCACCCACCCCTCCAGTCCAGTGCACACGCAGGAAAGCACTGCACGTGTACGCTCACACGTAGAAGTAGCGGTATGCATGCTTCCGGGCCCTTCACTGGGAACGTGCCACAGGAACACAGGCAGGGTAAACACAGCTCATTGGGAAAGTTCAGCCTTCTTTCTGGGCTTTTCTAAACTGTCTCTCCTTCCATAAACTCTGTTTACTATAGAGCACAGAGCCTTTTCTTTTTCAGAAGCCAACCATTTCCCTTCTCAGGGCCAAAGTCACTCAAGGGAAGCAGGGAAGGGACACTAACATTGTTGAGGGCCCACTACATGCTACATAGTGTGCTGGTTCCTTTGAATGTATTTTCTTTAATTCTTACATAATTCCCACTACATAACCAAGGATGGAAGGCTGGGGTAGGATTTGCATGATAAATTATTTGTGCAATTATTTGTAAATATTTGCACAAGGCCCCGGTGCTACGGAGTGGTGGAGGACAGATTCAGACTGAGGTCTTTTTGGCTCCAGATCCCACATTCTCCTTTCAGCCAACTTGCTTCCCACCCAAGCAGGTGATGCTTCACACTCCTATTGCCTGGGATCCCTTCTGGGACTCGCCACAGACTTACGGACTCAAACTTGGAGAATATTAAGTGGATTATATTTGGGAGTGAGGTTCTGAGGGAAGTGATTCTACTGTCCCTTGGGGCTCTCAACCAGAATCACCAGGGCTGAGGGGGTGGCTGGATGGAAGCAGCGACCCTCCCTGCAGGGGTGGAGGGAGTGTGCTCTCTGCCCTTCACCTGAAGAGGAAGAAGACTGCAGAGTGGCCAAAAGAAGCTTCCTGAGGAGCCAACAGTAGTAAGGGGTAACGCCTGGGGTGGGTCACTGGGGTGCACAGAAATGCCCTGTTGCGTAGGACCAGCCCCAGGGATGGGGACGAATACCGGAAAGTGCTTTTCTCCTACACTGCCTCGTCTGGTGCTTCAGCTGGAAACAACATCGGAGGCATCTTTGAATAACAATAATAAGAAAATCAGCTCCTTAAAAATAATCACCAAAATAAAGCCCCTCTGTTTCACACAGGCTGGCTTTAGTTCCCCTCCATCTACGGTCTACGGCGGGACCTGAGCGTGAGGTCAGCGGAGGTGCCCTTTATGGCCCCTGGCCCTGGTGTTGGTGCTGGCCAATTTCATAAGGGCGGTTCTGCAGGGCAGGAAGGAAAGCCAAGGATTACAGAACAAGGAGGCCCAGATATCTACCAGGTGTAAGGGGTCATCTACCTGTTTCGAGATGAGAAAAATGGCAGCTCTGAGAGGTAAAACAACTGGTCTGGCAGCTGACCAGCACCCAGACTCCTGGCTTTCTCTGCGCCACATGGCCTTCTCGGGATCCTGCTTAGGTTTTATAAGGTCAGATCCTGCTTGGATTTTATAAGGTCAGGCCTCCTGAGGCCCTCCAACCAGGTAAGATTTATGCCCAGGGCCATAAAGCCACCTACTATGGAAAAACCAGCCCTGCTCCTTCAACTTCCCCAATCAAATCTGTGATTTTGCTAATTAAGTTAAACAATTTGCACATTTCTAATCTCCCTGTAGGTGCAAGGGTTAGTGATTCTAGTCAGTAGGGAAGACATGGACTGATCGGTCACAGAGGGAAGCACCCTGTCCTGGGCACGTAAATTAAATCCGGACTTGAGTTCTCCCTGACTCTCCAGGACTCTGCTCTGTCACTGAAGCGGACATAGCTGGGGGAGTATTTTCACTGTGATGATGTCAGCCTGTTTCTGATAGGCTCCCAGTAGAGGGACAAATCACTGGCTGTGTTGGGGCCCTGCACTTGTTTCTACAACAGCTCTCTCACAGGTCTTTGCAGAAGCCCTTCCCAGCACGCAGCCGACCACACAGAGGCCCTCCTGACAGACCTGCGAACAGGCTGTGACAAATATTCCACCTTCTAATTTGCACCTTGGCTGTCAGCAGAGAGACGAGTGGTCTGGCTACGGGAAGGTAATGAGACTTGGCCTGGAAGCCAATTTCTCTATCATTTAGACGTTCATTCTGCAAAGTATCAAGCAGGGAAAACACAGAGAGATGCTTGCTTCCTCTCTAAGACCTGCCAGGTCCATTTGAAACCTAAAGAGGCCGTGAGCGCTGGTGTGAGAGGCTGCCAGGGCCTCAGAGATGCGGCCCACGGCTAGAGCTGCTCTTTCTTCTCAAGTTGAAAGAGATGCTGGTAAGGAACCAGGAGTGTTTAAAAATATCACACCTCTTTCCATTCCTACTTCTGTGCACACTAACGCTTTAAGGATTAAAAAAAAAAGCTACCATGAAAAACACATTTACTTTTCATTCTTGTTTATCTACCACTCTTCTCCTGGGGACTCTTAAAAAGACAGCTTTGCTAAAGAGAATTCCTTTTTCCTACGAGGACCGACCCCAATCCATGTAGGAAGGTCGGAGTGAGCAGCAACTACAGATGGGTAGTGAGTTGTACATAATGATGCCATTTTAAAAAGCTTGAGTTTTGCTCTTTCTTTGACTCAGAACTTTGCAAATTCTTTTGTGGGTCTTACCAAAGAGTCGAAGCCTACAGTGACATCTCACCATAAAAAAGAAAAATATTTGGGGTTAAAAGCTTTTGGCAAGGCAGGTCCTGGCTGTTGTGTAAGATCCCACATCCGGTCATTCAAAAGGAGTTCCGGAAAACACTTTGGAAAATTGGCCTCCCTCCACTTCACTTGATCTTTTAAAAATGTACTTAAAACAATTCAAACCATTAACTAGTTTTTCTTGTTTTGTTTGTTTTATTTTCTGTAAACGTCCCATCAGCTAAGCCTTGACCCTTTTCCAACTCACACCTGAAGGAGGTGCTGTCACGGCCCAGAGTTTCAAAGTCCCTGATGGAAACATCCCCAGAGAGTGGGCTCTACCGCCAGGAGAGTTCCCATGGGGGCCTACTCTGTTTGACTCAATCAACCTGGGCAGTGACGTTGCTGTTTGCTATAATGGGCTGTAGAATAAATGCATCCAAGAGATTTAAGAGCCTGGAAAAGGGTAGACTGAAAGAGCCCAGGGAAATTATAAGAGAGTTGATCATAGTTCTAGTTTTTAACATGAGTCAACTTGGCTGCACATGACTCTTGGGGTTCCTATTCACCCCAAGCCCAGCAGAGCACCTGGGACAGCCCTGACTTCTTGGATTGTATGAACCCTGCCTTTTATTTTCTGTGTTCTGATGCTCTGACATCTGGAGGCCTTGCTGACTCTGGAGGGATTGCCCCTCTGGGGTTAGCTAATTCCTAGAGATAGCAATCAACTCTGCTGGGAGCATACCTTTCATATGCAAACCACTTAGCCACCTCCTTTAGGAGGCTCAGACTCCTGGCCACTGCCCACCTGCCCCAGTCACCCCACAGCAGGTACCAGACAACTAGGAGGAGAGCTAACTATAAAGTTATTCAAACCAGCCAGTCCCACACCTACTCACCCTCTCACCCACTCCTCCCCACAGAAACCACAATACTGCCCCCTTTCTCCTCACTCCCTCTGCCTCCTGACTGAGCCTGGTGCTGCCCCGTGTGGCATGTCCCCTCTTGGGATCTGGGAGTATAAGAACTATGTTTTCAATGGCCATTATCTCATCTCTTGGCCTTGCCACGCCTGACCAACAATAAAACCTGCATTTTAAAACACGGATGTTGGTATGAGATATGGTGGGTGACTCTGGGCATCTAATATCCTTACCTGACCATCAGTGTCCCTTCCTGGTGGGGAAAAAGGGGCAGATGGACCTCTAGAAGGGCCTTAACCCAGCCTTTCTCAGTCAGGTTCCCATCTGAACCCCAGAACAAAAGCATAACTTGAGTGATGATTTCCTTAAATTGTCCTGCGGTTGGGACCTGACTAGCCTCACTCCAGGTGCAGAGAAGTTAGATCACTGCAAACAGCAGATGTCTTGGGGCACCGGGGCTAATTCTCTTAGAGAATCTTCTTAGAGAAGACTCCGAGTCCGAAGTCTGGGTACAAATGAAAGCCTTTCATTCCCCCCAGAGCACGGCAGAGTCTGCGCCCGGAAGACGTTCATCTCGCCAGGAAGTGAGGAAGGTGTGTGGTGGGTGTCCCCGCCTGGGACCTGGGTGAACATTACCTGTGCCCGGTGCTCCCCGACGGCGAACTGGATGACGGCGACGCCGGGGCTGTGGCTGTCCTCAATCCTCTCCACGGTGCTGGAGTCGATCTTCAGGTCATTGCTGATCTCTGCGCTCTGGATGAAGTCCTCCGTTTTTAAGTCCTCCACCTTCTTCAGCTCCCCGTTGGCCAGTTGGATGATGGAGCCTTTCATGAAGTAGGGGGGCAGCGTCGGGGGCACTGCTGCCGGGGATGCCACGGACTGCACCACGGGCAGGTGGATCTGGGCCTGCACCATGGCCGGGTAGGCGGCCTGGGTGACCAGGGCCTCTGGGCTGAAGTTCTCGCTCTTGGGAAGGGCGGTGGAGACGAACGTGTGAGGCACTGCTGCAAACTGGGGCGACGACGTGGCTATTGCAGAGGCAGCTCCCGACCCCTCCACGTCAGCACTGCCCACCGGGATGAGCAGGGGCTGGGTGCCGGGGATGACCAGGTGCTGGGGCAGGCTGCCGGCATAGGTGATCGCCTGCTGCTGGCTGCTCAGGTAGCCGATGACAGGCGGCTGAGTCCCTGCGTAGAAGGCTGTGGCTGGCAGTCCGACTGGGAGTGGCTCCGAAGCGCTGTGTGTGGTCTGAATGACCGTGTGGGGTGACAGCGTGGCGACGGTGGCGGCCTTCACGCCTTCAGGGCCCAGAGCCTGTTGGGGTGAGAGCGCGTAGGAGCGGTGTCCGGGCTTCCCTAAATGCAGGCCACTTTTGTCGTTGAGGGTGGAGGGGGAGGCCTCGCGGTGCGTGACCTGCTGCACTTCCAGGTCGGAGACGGGGGTGTTGCTGTTGGGCAGGACCATCACAGAGGCCCGGACCCCCGCGGAGTCCCGATTGCCGTAGTCGGAGGGGCTGGGGTGGACAACCACGTGCCTGGACTCGTAGGGGTGAGGCACTGACTTGCTGCCGGCCTTCACCAGGCCCAGGTCGGCCGAGGTGGGGGCCCCGTACCGCCGGCCCTTCTCCAGCTCCCCGTTGAGGATCTCCTTGGCCTGCATGGCCTGCTGCAGCCTGCTGCTCTCGGCTTTCTTGGTGGCCTCCCGAGGAAGGAAGTGGCTGCCGGAGTCGGTGTATTGCACTACGACCTGGGGGGAGGGCCCCAGGGTGATGGTGTGTGGGATCATCGTCTGGTGGGGGTGGAGGTGGACGGGGATGGCCGGCGGAGAGGCCGTGCGCCCGGCGTTCTGCGGGGAGCTGGCGATGTGGACGTACTGGTTCTGCTGGGTGGGTGGTGGGGACCCTGGTGCCATGAGCCCTGGAGTCCTGCCCAAGTGCTGCTGCTGCTGCTCAGCCTTGTGTCCTGAGGCGTGGCTCAGCCCGCCCATGCTGGCCAGCAGAGTGGAATAGGCCTCCAGCTGGGAGCGCTGGGATGGAGTGGAGACGCCCCCGGCCGAGGCCACCGCACTGGTGGCGGGGCTGGCCGTTGGGGAGATCAGCTGGGAGGGGATGAACCCTGCGTAGGGCCCGCTGTACTGGGAGGACCCAATAAACTGGAAAGTGTGCGGCAGGTGCGCGTACTGCACGGGCGACACCGGGGTCCCTGACTGCGGGGGAGGGTACACCGTGGGCAGCGTGGTGGTCGCCGGGACAGACCTGGGCGCGCTGGGTGGGGAGTAGTCCAGCGCCGTGGGCAGCGCTTTGTGTAAACCTATTCCCTGTTGTAAACCAAGCTCCACCGCAGTCCCCGCCGGGCCATGCCTCCCGCCCCCGTGACCTCGGCCACCAAGGGTGCCCGGGAGCCATGCCACGCCCTCCGCCCGGTGGTTGTCGCTGGGCAGGATGGTGGCCTTCTCCTCCGAAGGCCGGCTGGTGGCGGGGATCTCGCGCTTCTTGGGAGGCAGGCATTCGTTGCTCCGCTCTTGGTTGGATTTCATTTTTCGCCGTCCCCCCTCCACGGTGACTGCTTCACTGTCTGGCTGGCTCTGATTTTAGTCTGATAAACGGAAAGTCACATTTGATTTCTGTAGGGGATCCAGGCTCTTCATGAGGAATCATCTCCCCGTGGGTGCAGTCCGCCAGCAGCAGCTCTGGAATCTGGGGAAAGGAAGAGGGAAAGGAAGAGAAAGGGAAGGAGGGAAAAGAAATCAAGACATCAGCACCGGAAAAGGACATCCTCCCAAGACTAAGACTAGGCTTTGGCTTCAGTGCAAATTCTGAAAACATGATTCTAGCCCCAGCATTGAAACAGCTAAAACAGTGGCCTCGGTGGACATCCTATCAGGAAGATGATTAAGACATGGAGCAAGTCAAAACTTAAAGCAGAGACCTTTTTATGAAGTTAACTCCCCTAAGACACGTTTCTCAATACCTCTCTCCTTTTTTCTTATTAGAAGGTAGACAATGTATTTCTTAAGTTTTCTTTTCGGAAATGCTGGTTCCATGCCTCACCTCTTCTTTACTTTGTTGGAAAATCAAATGAAACTCACAGGGAGGATGACATCAGGGAACGTCCCCTGGGCCCCGCCCTCCGAGCCAGGCCCTGGGGAGGGGCAGGTTCGGAGTGAGAGCCTCAATGGACTTTGCATGTTATCTCTGAATCCCCATCTATTAGAGCCACTACTCGAAGATGCCACCTGACTCTGGGTCCATCCTAACTTTACAACAATTCTCTTTACAAGAATTCCCAGTAAAGCCACTCATGATAACAGAAAACCAAAAGAAATTGGTGAGACAGTTAAAAAATGAATATGGTTACAGTTTTTTATAAAAACTCGATAATCATGCAGGTTTACTGAAGGCTTCTTTAATGATGGTTACACACTTGCTTCATCCCCGACTCGTTCCAAGTGGCCTTTGAATTTCCTTTTATACCTCCTGCCCCTGCTCTCTTTGGAGAGAGCCAGCCTACCCTTAACCCTGGAGGTGAAACTTCTTTCAGACCAATCAGAACCCGTGTGTTTACACTCGAACATACAAACAGTGAACCTGGAGCCATTTCTTAGACACATATCTCAGTCTCCCAGTAAACACTGAATTCTGAGTCACCAAGACTCAAAGAGATGCCCATCTGGCAGGAGGCAAAACATCAGTGGAAGCCATGGGAACCAGGCTGACAAGGGCCAGATGTGTGCGCCCCCTACAGGCAGCAGCTGCAGACACGCACAATGTCACCTTGCTATGACTTTGGGAAGCTGTGAGGTCCCGCTGTGGGGATCACGTGCCCTGGGGTTACAGTGGTCCTCCTACCCAGACACTCTTTTCTATGCTCTGATTTTTAAAAAAACACAATATGGCAGCAGCCTTCAGCCTCTGATCCTTGTCTATATGAAGCAATCGCCATATCCTTTTTAAAAAAATCTTTTCATATCCCTATTATTACACACTTTTCTCCGACGCCCCTCCACTCAACTCCCATCACCAGCTTACACACCCCACCCTGGTCTGCAATTTTACTTTATTTTGCCAATGATTTAGTGGTCCTTTTTGGTTTTGCTTGAATATCACTAACAAACATCACGATAAAAGTACAAATGGCACAAGACCAGGTCCCCCAACTACAATGACTATGATCAGTTTATGTTGAAGGTGGAGGTTTAGGGATTTGGTGTCTCAACATCAAAGAGCATTTCAGTTATAATAGGGTTTCTCATATGATGAGAGGCACTTTAAAGACTGGGACAGAAACAAAAATAAGAAGACCTAAAATATTAATGCTGAAGAAATATCTGTGTCGAAAGAGTAGTGTCAATTATTTACTCTCCCGACCTGCAGCCTTTTAAAGTCCAGGTAACTGTGTTCTGCGTAGCCTTCTCTTATAGAATGCACTACATAATTTACACCCGGTACTCTCAAGTCAATGAAATGCAGTGCTATTTTCAAAACAATGACAGAATAAAATTAAACTACAATGCATCAAAAACAGTTGCCCTTTTTGGCTGCTTAAAAAACACCGATAATGATCTAGAGATTTCAAGAGTCACCCATGAGCACGGGAACTGTATGAGCTCTCATATTCCCATACCAACTAGCAAAGTTATATAAGATAGATCTACTCAAAGCCCACCATTACAGACGCCCCCTGCTGGCTCTACACTAGCACTGATCCAATAAGACCCCACAAGATTTCACTAAGGATGTTCATGCAAAGTAGTATGTCAGAATCTGAAATTAGAACATTTGCATATAGTAGGCCCAGGCAGTAAGGGAATAGGTTAATTAGTGCAAGACAGCTTCAGGGAAGAAAAAGCAGCAGCAGAAAAGTCCTTTCAAAGCCAAGCAAAATGTCAAACACATTCAGAAATAGGTCCATTAGCAATGCAAATGTGAAATTGCCCATACAACTGAATGCACAATATACAAAACGAGAAAACCCCTTTGAAGGTACTCTTTAAAGAACCCAGTTTGAAGAAGAATGCTGACTTGGTTCTCAGGAGTGCCCTGGCTTATTTACATTGCTTATTTAGAGCTGTTCTTCTGCTAATGGACCACTAAGACTTGGCCTTGACAAATTCATATATTTTCTTTTAAAAAGTTATCCATTGATAAACATCCTTTCTTAATAATAATAAAATAATAATAATAATAATAAAACCAAGAATATAAAGATAAAGACTGAACTGGACCCAAAAGGGCCAAACTGATAAAAATTCAACCCATCCTCCTCCCACATTTGGAAGGACCATGCCTGCTATTACCAGTGCAGCTTGGAGGAGACGAGGATCTAATTCTGGGGATGTGCCCCTTCCCTGTGCTCCATTATCTCTCTGTAGTGTCAGTATATCCTATCAGGGAGAAGCACTGTGAGGACAGGGACTGTGTCTTGCTCTTTCATATATATATTTTACTGATTTCAGAGAGGAAGGGAGAAGGAGAGAGAGAGAGAGAGAAACATCAATGATGAGAGAGAATTATTGACCGGCTGCCTAGGGATCAAGCCTGCAGCCTGGGCATGTGTCCTGACCAGAATCGAATCCCAGACCCTTCAGTCCACAGGTGGACACTCTATCCACGGAGCCAAACCTGCTAGGGCTGTGTCTTGCTCTTTGCAGTGAACCACCAGAGGGCGCCAGAGTATGCTACCATGTCCATGTCTCTGGTACATTGGGTGACTAATGGATAGAAAAGAAGGAAGAGGTCAATAATGAAGGTAGAAAAGTGCAGTAGGGAAAAGGAAGGAAGAGAGTAAGGGATAAGAAAGAAGAAAAAAGGAGAGTGGTATTTCTGCTTTTAGGGTCTCTTTCCAGCTGCAGACAAATGGCCTCTGTGTCCCCAATCGCCTTCTCAGGGCTGAAACCCAATGATTCAGCTGGGCCCCGAGGAGTTCACCTCCAATGTTCCCGCCACAACAGAACACTTTCTTTGAAACGTGGAGCCACACAAGAGTCCATAAACACAAAGTTACAAAAGAACCACAAATGCAGATCATACTGTTCAAACATCAGGAAGGCTAAAGTGGAGGGCGAGTTCATAGATGAATTGAGACATTTATTTAGGGTTTACTACATACAGTTTACCTGGTAATTACTGTTCTGAATACATTCATCTCCAGCATCTCTATATCTACATTTATATCTATCCCTTGATCAGTATTTTAAAATTTAGCTCAGTGGCCAAAGGCCTTGCCATTCCAAGGGTGGTCGTCAGACCAGCAACACCAGCACCCCAGCAGCTTTAGAAATGCAGAACCTCAGGCCCCACCCAGGCCTCCTGATCCAGCATCTGTATTTTAACACGATCCCCCGATGATTCACAGGCACAGCAAGGTTTCAGAAACTCAGTATAAGAATAAGTTTTCTGCTCATAAGCTCCCAAGCATAGTAAACATCTCTAGCCTCTTTCCCCTGGAGCAGGCACTGGGAACCCCAACCAGGGCTGCACATAAACAGAACTGATGGAGCCTTGCTGCTTATCTGCTAACTGATGGAGATAAGCAGCTAACATGGAGGTAAGATGCAGCTGTTTCCTTTGGTGTCTCCTAGACCAAGACGGTTCTAAATAACAGACGTTCCTTTTCTTCCGTCTTCAAGAAGTATAGAAAAACACACCTTTAAAAAGGCTAGTATCATACATTTTGTACAGGACTCGATCCTCTCCAGGAGGAAAAACAAACTTTAACAAAGAAAGCCACACATATCTTTGCTATAATACAAAACTGTTTCCCCCAGTACCATGGATGTAGGCTGTTTCAGAAATGATAAAAGAACCAAGATGCCTCTGTACCGAGAGATGTGGGAACATATCCCCACTGACTGCCAGTCCTATAAACAACAACCACGCGCTCTGAACGGAAGATGCTCCTAGGACGGGACACACGCCGTCCTGACAATGCATTCCGAGGTCGTGGCAATGAACTGGGCTGCTCGCCTAGCACACCCAGCCCGCAGAGTGTGAACCCACGCCTTTCTGGCATGGGTCTATGCAGAACAGAGGCATGACTACAGTTTTAAAGAGGAAGGAACACAGACTGCCGAGCTTGTCTGTTCTGGAAAAACCATCTGACCATTAGGAGACAGAACACCAGGGCCTGGTGGGAGAGGTCACTAGGACATGGCGAGGATTCTCTAATTCCTGGCACACCCCTCTCCTTTCTGTTTCATTTTATTACAAAGCTGGAAGATCCACACTTCATTAAAATATTAAATATTAAAAACAGGCCCAACCCTGACATCCTTGGGGTTTCTGGGATGGAGAAAGGTGGGGTGGATGATAGCATAATTAGATACCTTCATGGTTGCTGAACAGCATGTCCCAAAGGAAGTGGATCACACATTCATTCATCATTTACTTTGCCTCTGATGTGTACAGTGGACCTTAATTTTTCAATGTCAGCATGGAGCCAATGGTATGCCAGGACTCTATTTTTAGGTCTATTCTGTTCAACATTTTATTAGTGCTTTGGCTATCATATTCAGAGGTAACAGAAGGCTGGAAGGAATGCTTAATGTATTATTGCAATTAATATTCAAATATATCCCCAGAACCTGGAAGTGATGGCACAAAACCAAGAAATTTCAGATTAATGAGAGTAAATGTAAATACCTGCCCGTGGTTTCAACAGCTCAATTAGTTTAGTAGCAGAGCTGGAGAGAACGGCT